AGTAAATACATGAAAAATAATTTATCGAGGGTGCTCTTTTGTCAGAATTATTCAAAAAGAATGGAATAGATGGTACGTTTGAATTAAATAATAAGATCGGACGAAATGAAAAGATTGAAATACCTTAGATATGTAAAATGACCAAAATACCCCTAAAATGGAAATGAATCAAGAATATCACCAAGCCCATGAATGATTGGATATCTTCAAGTTCTAAAATGATTGAATTAACATTGAGCACCAAAATGACCAAAATACCCTTATAGACTAGACTAAGTAAATGTCTTGGATTAATAAAGGAAAATAAACATGGGTGTTGTATTACCCTTAAAAGTTATGGAACTCAACTTAAGTGAGTTGACCAACGCTAATGCTATATCAGTACTTGAATAGCATAGATACCACTTGAATCCTTATCCTTCTCCTCAAGTTTGGATCGATGATAATTCTGGAAGTACTCAGCTCAGCTCAACTCTAGAGCGCATTCGGTACTAAGAAATGGATAATCGTTAGACAAATCAGCCACAAATACTAAATTGGACTGAACGAAAGTACAATATGTGTCTGAAATTTAGAAACATCCGAATTACTCTAGAAAACTCTGGAGTAACTGGATAGACTTGATTACTAAATGAACTAAGTAACCTCAATGACTGAGGATTAAGTAAGTGATTGGGATAAGTTTGGAAACTTGGATGAACTTACATGATGTATCATCCCTATGGGTTATGAACCATAAATCAAGTACGTCGGCATTTCCTGATATAGTTGAAATATGGAAATGAAATAAAGACAATTAGAATATTTGTTCGTCTCTTTAAAATCCATTCAACTATGACTCAGAAGATGATTTATGTACAAGAATTATTGGTATTAAAGAGTAAATATCTGGAAGGGCAATGAATGGACCGGTCAACATGTATTAGTTCTGGGAGTTGTTTAGCTTGAGTTATTTCAATAATCTGATAGATCGACACAGACTATAAATATCTTGAACCTTCATTTCTTCCTTATTAGCTTAAATCACATTCTGAATAACTGATGAATCCGTCAGATAATGAACTCTTCCGATAATGATTCTAACTTTCAATTTTCTATCAGTATACTGAAGATTCGTGTTTCTCTGCCCAATAAGATGATCTAGTATCTATGAATAAATATATGATAAATATTTTGATCCTCTAGTGTGTTCCACATGTACTATATGACGGTTTTATATGTTTGAAATGAGTTTTAATGAAAGTATTTATTTACTGGTTTATGAACCATGGAAACATGGTATGTGATCTCTGATTACGGTTTTTATCAAAAAAAAAATATGAATTGTTTATGATTTATGGAATCATGGAATTTACTAGGTGTGCAGGTGGGTGTATGGTTCTGGGGAACCTACACATTATGGAGTGTTCGGTTGGAGGGATTACTATGGTTTTTGATAAATGTTTTATGTGAGGGTGTTGTTGGAGGAAGTTATTGTTACTGCGGGCTCCTTTACTTTGTGCTCAGGGTAAGTCCTTACTTGGTGTGTAGGTGGGTGTATAGTTCTGGGAAACCTACACATTATGGAGTGTTCGGTTGGAGGGATTAATAAGGTTATTGAATAAAAATATGTTTTAAACTGCCACTGTTTTAAAACAAAAGATTTGTATCTTTTCACTGGTTTTGCGGGAACACACTGGATAACCTATTATGATCTCCTGGACTCAGTCATCCAAAATATTTCTCTGAACTAAAATCTTATTGTCTATTACTACCTGAGATATCAGTGGGACCTCAGCTTAGCCTAACAATTTGTAGATGTTTGAAATAATAAAGAAATATATGTTTATTTGTTATCTGCACGTTTTTCGACATCATCTGGTAGTTATGTATTACTGAGCTTTCCAAAGCTCACTCTGTTACTCACCATTACAGGTTAAAAGAATCGTACCAGTGCAGTTATCGATATCAGTAAAGGAGTTTCTCCGGCGTTGCTTGCAGAGTATGGTACATGTGATTATGGGGCATCTATGTTGTATTTTGTTTTATATATGAGTTTGAAAATATGTTTTATTTTTTAATACTGATAAATTTTATTCTGTATTTATAAATGATTTTATGAGTTTACATGTTTTAATAAAAGTTTTAAATTTTCCGCTATTTTTACGGTGCGTCGCTCCGGTGGCCCTAATATGACACCCCAGATCGGATTGGGTTATCCTTATCGATCTGAGGGGGTTACAATATTTATTGTTTCACATCAGCAAACCGTTGAAGGCTTAACAGCTGTTAACCTTCATTGACAACATCTTAATTAAAACGAAACAAAAGTGATCATTTTTATAGTTTACCCTAAAAGTTATAAAATGGTCCTATGACTATAGAGTGTTGCTTTGTTGAGTCTCTCGACTATTAAATGTTACAAAATGATCATGTGATTATTCATATGTTCCAAACTCATCCTTTTTTCGTTTATTAATAGTCGTTTGAATTGGACATTAACATGATGACTATGATATGATAGTCATTTCAGATTCTAGAATTTTTAATATATTTTTTAACGAAAAAGGATAAGTTTGGAATATATGAATACTCAGGTAATCATTTTATAACTTTTAACAATTGATGGACTCAATAAAGCAACATATAATAGCCGATAGACTATTTTGTAACTTTTAATAGTTGGGGGACTCAACAAAGGATCACTCTATAGTTTGTGGATCTTTTTTGTACTTTACCTAAATTTAATTTAAAATCATGGTTGGAAAAATGATTTTCAGACTAATCTTAAAAATCTAAAATTTCTAACAGTTTTAGTGAAAAATCACTTTTGAGGTGAAATTATATTTTTATCTTTAATTATTTAATTTTAATTTATAATATAATAACTAAAATAGAAATATAATCTTTTCAAAATTAATTTTTAACGATAATTTTAAATAGTTAAATTTTAAACTATATTTTTTTAAAAATAATTTTAAATATATTTTTTACTACAATTTTCAAAATCAACTTCCAAAATCATAACCGAATTTAATACACTGTTGATATATAATTTTATATACGATCAATAAATTATTTAAAATCATTTTTAATATTTATTTGTAATAATATATCATTATTTGATTATATACAAACAATATACTAATACTATTAAATATTAAACATTAAGTCACGAAAAACCTGTAAAATTTTAGAGTACAATATATAGTAGGTTTCAAAATTGGCGGGACCTGAGAAAGCGATTTCAAAGTATATTCTTCAGGTGACAAGTTCTCAACAAACACCAATCAATCAACTTGCACTCTAGAGAAAGGAAATGAAAATCTCCCCCAGATATTAAATAAATAATTGACTTTCTTTATTAGTGGGATATTTTCTTTCAAAAAAACTGAGGAATGATCGACAGGTAACAAGAAAAAAGAAATATAATATTTTTTAGACTTAAAAGGAATACTTTTATCCCTACTGTAAGTTTAATTTATTATTTTCGTTTCAATAAATTTTTTTCGTATCAATTTAGCTTTGAAATTATTTAAGGGTATCATCTTAGTTTTTAAAGTTCGTTTTGACTAATATAAATCGTTAGTTTTCTGCATATTGATGACAATAATTTTCACGTCAACTAATATTATTAATGTGGTTTGATGATGATGTGATATTTATAAAAAAAATAAAATATTTAAAATACTTATTAAGTACAAAGATTAAAAAAATCCCTAAATATTTGACTTAATCCCTTAATCTCACTGGAATAAATAATAAAATTTTGTTTATTTTTCTAATCGTTGTGTTTAGTAAATATTTTAACCTAATCACTTAATACATAGACACAAAAGGCTCACGATTCTGTTAGTCAAAATGGTTAACGGGCTTCGAGGGCTAGGATGATTCCCTTAATCAACTTCGAGGTTAAATTGATACAAAAAATCATAGTGGCGAAAATGATAATCTAGGTCTACTACATGAGCAAAAGTAGTCCTTAAGCTTATTTTCTATAGGTCATCGCTCGTATCGTATGTGTTTTTATGTTGTGTATAATATTTTCTATAATCGGGATATTCTGTAACTTTTAATAGTCAAAAGGCTCAATAAAATAATATCCTATATCGATGAATCATTTGTATACTTTACCCATTTTTTAAAGATAGTTAACTTCTTTTTATTCTTTTTCCTATAAATTCTTGATTATAATTGTAAATGAAACAAAATAGATTGTAAATTATTTAAGTTTGACTCAGTTAAAGTTCGATCAATATTCATTTTGAATGGACAGGCTTAAATTCTTAACAAGTCGAAGCGAACTAATTGATAGCCGATTTAAAAAGTTCGTAAGCAATTCGAAAAAATAATATATGAAACTTTTAATTTATGAAATTAAATTGTTAATAATATTAATATATATATATATGCCATTTTTTAAACGAAAATATAATATAAGGTTTTTATGTATTTAAGGATCAAATTCAAGCTTCAAACAAACTATGTGTGAGAATGTTTCAAATTCAAGTCTTTTTGAGTTCGAGTCAAGTTTTAAATTTTTATTTTGAATTCGAGTCAAACTTAAAAATTAAGTATATGAACTTTCAAGTCGAGTCTAACTCAACTATATAACTTTTTGAAACGAACTCAATAATAATCAAACTCGGCTGCTCCCATTTACTGCCCTAATCTTTGATAGGTAAGTTAGGTGAGACAACAGTATGTCACAAAATCTCAATCTTCCTCGACATCACCATAACATATAGAATTATTTTTCACTTTTTTAGTTTGCAGATTAATGAATCAAAATTTCCAATATAAAGCAACCAAGTGGTTAGAATTATCTATTTTTCTTTTGATTTTGAGAGCCTTAAAGTCAACAATAAGCTATGATTAAACTTTTGTCAAGAAAATTAACGAATTTGGGTAAGATCACAATCCTCTTTAGAAATGATTACAACCAGGAACAAAAACATATTAATCTGTCATCCCTATAATAACCCTCCCAGAGATGATGAGTGGCAATTAAACGACATCGTTATTAAGTAAAGTATGTATTTCAACCTTATTCATGCAAACACGTATGTATAGTACAATACCGTATAGATATGTTGACGTGTATATACCTAACCAAGAATACTGGGACATGTATACTTATATTATACTGACAGATGGCACAAGGGATCTGATGACGACGGGTACGATGACTATGACTTGGTCAAGCTCCATAGATCATTCTCGTTGTTGTAGACCTGTGAGTTTTGATTTGATCTGTGCAAATTTATGTGCGATAATTGAATATCATCATCTTGACAAAGACTGAAAACCGCATTAGGGTCACTAAAGCATGTTAGTTGCTTGCTTGTCTCCACTTGACCATTTAGCTGGGATGCCACAAGTCGTTCCAGGGTGGCCCAGTCATTAACGCCATTTATAGCCTCATTATTTTTCTCCACTGGTGAAACACCACCGCCGCTGCTGCCACAACCGCCGGCTCGGTTGACCGAAGACGGTTCGGCTTCCGTTAGCATGTCATCCAAGGATTGGAAACCTCGATTTTGAACAAAGGGAAGGGAAGGGAGAGTTGGGCTATCCAGCCTTGGTAGATGCATGAAACTGTCATGCAATCCATTGTTGTTTGCAGCAAACATGTTTAGATGATTGTTGTTGATGCTGATGTTATTGGTGGTATTTATGGTGTTGGATGAATCGTTCTCCATCTTGCACTTCTTTCCCTCGTACATAAAAATCTGATCTAGAGCCCTATCGTTGCCTGAGCAAAGCATCTGCATCTTAGAGTCGAGGGAAGTGGACGAAGAGCTTTTAGGACACTCTAGGGTTTTCTGATAGTTCTTCTTTCTAAATACACGACAAACCACCCACCCTTCTTCAGGCATCGAGTCTCCAATAGAATTGGAAGCCTGTGCCCATTTAACAACCTTCATACACATACATGCATGCATACATACATACATACATAAAGGAAGAGGATGATTGCTTACATTAAACTGATCAAGGGTGTTGCTGTTATCGTCAAGCCGGTACTCATGCATAATCCAATCTGATTTCTGACCATGTGGAGCTCTTCCTTTATAAAACACCAACGTCTTCCTCAACCCGATTCTCCTAAAGCTTCCATAGATGATCTTGTCACGCCCGGTAGCTTTCCAGAATCCGGCAGCTGTCGCGCGATTCGTTCTGGTCCCCGTCGGGTATTTCTTATCCTTGTGGCTGAAGAAGTACCAATCATTTTGTGGGGTGGATCCTATTTTACACTTCTCTGCAATACAATCAACCAAAACCCAGAATTTTCATCAAGATCCTAACACTTATTAATCAAAAGAAGTTGAAATTTTGAGAGTACCTTGAATATCCCATGGTTCAAGCTTGTTAAGATCAACTTCCCGAATAACATCGAGGTCAATCTTTTCATAAGCAACTTTCTTCCTGAGGTAATAGTGGAGAAGCTCTTCTTCTGTGGGATGAAATCTAAAACCAGGAGGGACCTGAGACTGACCATTAATTGATAGATTCATTTCTTAAAATGTAAAAGAAAGCTAAGCCAAATGAAAAACAGAAAGAGAAGAGAGAAGCAAAGCATAGAGGTAGAGGGGAAGATGCCTTGATGAGAATTTATAATGGTTTAGGGTATGGAATGGTTCAAAGATGCATGGGAAGGTTTGGGGTACATGGCCATTGGTGTACTTGTGCAAGGGGTCTATGCCCTTGAAAAGAGCCAACCACCTAAAAACTGGACATTATAGAAACCGAAAGAAATAAATGGGTGAGTACATAGGGAAAGTTGGTCCCACAATATTGGTGGTAAAAGAAATAGGGCAATGGACCCTACACGCTAGAAAAAAAGGTTACAAGTGTGAGAGCGGGGGGCACACCCACATCTGAACTATGACCTTCGACCTTAATATCTATCTGAAAACCACCTCTCTAACCCTAAATTTTTAGGATAAACTATATATTTACTGTCTCAACTGTCACTTTTGTTTCAATTTGGTTATTAAAGTATTATATTTTTCAAATCTATACATAACATTACGTTTTGATTTCATTTTGGTCACATATCGTTAAAAATAATAGAACTATTACTGTGACACTTTTTTAAAAAAATTCAAAAATGACATGACATTACCTTATGTTAACATACTAGTATTATCATTATTTTTTAATAATGAGTGACCAAAATGAAAGCAAAACGTAATGTTAAGATGACTTTTGAACAACAAATAATCGAGTGATCGAAATGGAACAAACATGATAATTGGATTATTAAATGTGTAGTTTACCCAATTTTTTTATCGAAGTACAAATAAAGTAATTTTTTTATATAAAATGGTTTGAATACAATGCAATATTATTCAAATACTTTCAATCATTTGATAATAAATATCAATTATTCTTACATTTGATAAATTAAAGAATTTAAATGTGAAAATTGATCCCATGAAAAAGTTAAACCTCAGTAAATATTTTTAAAAAATTAATAAAAATAAAATTCCGTTTATATACATATTATTAGTTTACCAAATATAAAATATAGCCCGTTATAACTTATGAAACCCCCCCCCCCCCCCAAATGATGGGGTCGGAGCCACTGACCTATCATGGTCCCCTAAACCAAGAAAGATATCATGCCCTTTGTGGCCACTTAGTTAAATATTTTAAGATAGTTTAACACCTCGACTGTCAGATGTTTTAATCTTATTATTTGAGAAGGTAAATTCCCTTCAGATTTCATAATTCTCAATTAAAAAATAACAAGACACCAAAATGATTTATTTAATTTTTAATAATATGATTTTATTTAGAGGAATAAATGTTGCGGAAGATGGCTATCGGATAGAGCAAAATTGCAACTGATAATTTGAGAAAATAAAGATGAAGATAAAAGAGACACAAAATTTACGTGGAAAACCCCTAAATTATATAGGGTAAAAACCACGAGCAACGGTAGAAGAATTTCACTATGAGAAAATAGGAATTACAACCTCTCTCGATCTACCAAGGAGAAAACAATGATAATTCTCTCTTGATAAAAAGGAGAAAATAACTCTCAAGAAACTCTCTAAAATCTCTATAGTATTGGAAGAAAGCTAGAATGTTTTGGGATGATTTTGAAGCTAAATGAGCTAGGATATTTATAGTTGAAACCTAAGGACTAATTTGTAAATACCCTAAAATTTAGTGACTAAATTAAATTATCCCATTTTTTATATTTTCAACAAAAGGGGCCATGCACCTTTCGGTGCATTAATTTAGGCACCTTTCGGTGCTAGTCAACAATCTCCCACTTGAAGATTTGATTGGAACAATCATATCTTCACACCATTCTTTCTACCTTGTACCATCATGTTGCTTACGTTTCTGTCAGGCCACAAGAGGATCGACACCAGCTAAATTTATCAGCGTTGATTGCTTTCGTCATGAAATCTGCTATATTGTCTTTGGTATGGATCTTCTGCATATCTACCGTCCCTTCTTCCACCTTTTCACGAATGAAATGGTATTGAACTCGTATGTGCTTTGTCCGTGAATGAAATGCTGGATTCCTTGCTAGATGCAAGGCACTTTGACTGTCACAAAACAGATAGACAAACTCTTGATTGTGCCCAAGCTCCTCCAATAGCATTTTCAACCAAATTGCTTCTTTACTGGCTTGTGTAGCTGCTACATATTCTGCCTCTGTTGTGGACGTAGCCACAACTGACTGCAATTTTGAAACCCAGCTTACAGCTCCACCAGCAACTTTGAACACATATCCTGTAGTAGATTTGCTTTTATCCAAATCCCCTGCATAGTCAGAATCTACATACCCATTAATTAGTAAGTTTGATCCTCCGTAACATAATGCAACATTTGAGGTTCCTTTGATGTATCTTAGGATCCTCTTTACTGTATTCCAATGCTCTTTGCCTGGATTCGCCATGTATCGACTAACCACTCCCACTGCTTGTGCAATGTCTGGTCTTGTGCATATCATAGCGAACATTAAACTTCCCACTACTGATGCATACGGTACTCGAGACATCTCCATCCTCTCTTCTTCACTGCTAGGACTCATACTGGAGGATAATTTGAAGTTAATAGGAAGAGGGGTAGAAATTGGCTTACAATCTTGCATGTTGAATCGTGACAAGATTTTCTTCAAGTAATTCTTTTACGAAAGCCAAATCTTCCTATTACTTCTGTCTCGGTGAATTTGCATCCCTAGAATCTTGTTTGCTGATCCCAAGTCCTTCATTTCAAATTCCCTAGCCAGTTGTGCCTTCAATTCTTCAATATGATCTTTGTTGTGTCCTGCAACCAACATGTCATCTACATACAACAGCAATATAACAAAATCGTTATCACCAGACCTCTTGAAATAAGCACAAGGGTCTGCATTAAGTCTGTTGTATCCAAGGCACATAATGAAGGAATCAAATCTCTTATACCAACACCTCGGTGCCTGCTTTAGACCGTACAGATTTGTTCAACCTGCAAACCAAGTTCTTCTTTTCGTCTTCTTCAAAACCTTCAGGTTGGAGCATATAAATCTCTTCTTCAAGATTTCCATGAAGAAAAGTTGTTTTAACATATAGCTGCTCTAGATGTAAGTCCAATGTAGCACACATTGCCAAAACTACTCGAACTGTTGTTAGTCGAACCACAGGAGAAAATATTTCATTGAAATCAATACCTTCCTTTTGAGCATATCCTTTGACCACCAGTCTTGCACGATACCTCTCAACTTGATCGTCACCATTTCGCTTGATTTTGAAGACCCATTTGTTACCAATTGGCTTCCTTCCTTGTGGTAGTGGCACAAGGTCCCATGTATTATTTTTATGAAGGACTTCGATTTCTTCTTGCATCGCCATCATCCACAGTGAAGCATCTGAGCTGTTTATTGCCTCCTGGTATGTTGATGGCTCACCGTCCTCTGTTAAAAGGCAGTATGCAATATTACCTTCTATAACATAATCCAAGTACCAATTGGGACGTCTTCTCACACGATCTGATTGATGAGTTGTTGGAGCTTCAGAACTCTCTGGTACTTGTTCATCATGTGTTGGTTCTGCTTCAAAAGAATCTCATTCTTCAAACTCTTTTTCCACATGTATCTGAGTAGTCTCTGACTTTTCAGCGCTATCATCGTCTTCTTTTCTTTGTAGTTTATCTTCTACAATGATAACATCCTTGCTAATGATCACTTTGCGGGCAGTGGGATCACACAAGCGATACCCCTTTACTCCATCAGCATACCCCAAGAATTTGCATTTCCTGGAATTTGGATCCAGCTTTGAAATTTCTTGGGCGTTGTACATCACGTACACAATACTTCCAAATACATGGAGGTTTGAATAATCAACTGGTTTACCAGTCCACATCTCCATTGGTGTCTTCAGCTCTATTGCAGTTGATGGAGCTCGATTCACCAAATAACAGGCGGTATTGACTGCTTCTGCCCAGAATGATTTTTCTAGGCCTGCGTCCCTCAACATTGCTCTTGTTCTTTCTAACAAGGTTCTGTTCATCCGCTCTGCCACTCCATTTTGTTGAGGAGTGTTCGCCACTGTGAACTGTCTTTTGATGCCTTTTTTCTTGTAAAAGTCATCAAATTCTTCGCTTGTGTATTCTCCTCCATTATCTGTTCTGAAACACTTGATCTTATTTCTAGAATCAAGTTCCACCCGCGCTTTGAAGTATTTGAAAGTTGAAAACACGTCTGACTTCTTCTTAATAGGGTGCACCCAACATCTCCTGGAGTAGTCATCAATAAATGAGACAAAGTATTTTGCTCCACCTAGGGACGTTACTGGTGCTTGCCATACGTCAGAGTGAACCAAGTCTAGAACACTTTTTCCTCTAGAATTTGATGTGTTGAATTTCAACCGGTGCTGCTTACTTGTTATGCAATGCTCACACAAAGGAAGTGATACATTTGTTAAGCCTGGAAGTAGCTTTTGCTCCACAAGGACTTTCATTCCTTGTTCTGACATGTGTCCAAGTTTCTGATGCCATAGCATTGCCGAATCTGAACTATATGAGGCAACAGAGGCTTCTTCTTCTACCAAAGTCTCTCCCTTCAGCATGTACAAGTTTGCAGCTATTTTTTCGCCTTTCAGTACCACAAGCGCTCCACGGAACACTTTCATGATTCCTTTCCGTGTTTCAATCTTGCTTGCATTATTATCCAACAATCCGTAGGATAATAAATTTTTGTTCAGGCCTTTCACGTGCCGCACATCTCGAAAAACTTTAATTGTTACGTCATACATCTTCAATTTGATGGTTCCCACGCCAACGATCTCTAAGGCATGATCATTGCAACTATAAACAGATCCTCCTGAGACAGGTTCATAATGATGGAACCATTCTCTTCTTGATGTCATGTGATATGTTGCTCCTGAATCAATGAGCCATATATCTTCAAATCGTTTTCTTCCTTCCACGGTGCTTGACGCTTCACAGCATAGAGCATCTCCATCATCTGAAGTGTTTGCGGTATTGCCTTGTGGATTGGAGTTTTTATTTAGACTCCAACAATCCTTCTTCAGATGACCC